ATTGAAGCAGCATTCAGCAAATTTCGATCTGATCCAGGAGCAAAAATAACATACTTCAACAACAGCAATTTCGTTCGACTTCTCAGGACTCAATACCCGTATCATTCTGTTCGATTCCCAAAAGACCATCTAATAAATGACTCTTATGATGCTCTGAAGGCCCGTTTTTCTAAGATACATCAAGCGCAACGAGCAATATTGCCCTCCTTTGTAATAATAGTATATAATTCCTTTCGAATTTTTCACTATAGCGCAGTCACAGTAGGTCAGCAGAAAAAAGAAAATTGAGACTTTCTTTCTCCAAAATCCAGGGTCATGATCAGTTTAAGGCATTGTCAAGAAAAGTATTTGAGTAGTGGACTCTGGCTATATTCAGACGACTTTTGTGTGTTCCAGTCTTTTGATATTCGTTGGATTCAAAATCATTCTAATCTAAAGCAGTGTTTGCGTAAACATCACCTGCGTAATTTAAAATCTTCGTGTATTTATTACAATAAATAATGATTCCACACTAAATGTTCACTCACGAGTACACCTGTAAGCTGTTCTACTTCGTTCATTTGCAGTTAAAATTCTTTTCCGATTCCACTTCCTCTAAATACTTGAACACTCTCAGTAAATACTTTCTAACTGTTTTGTGCATATTCCATTAGTCCTAAAAACCTTCGCGTACATGCAGTAGCTCTTGAATTAGCCATTTCACCAGTAAAAAATTGAAACGGCAGTACCAATTAATCATACGATCGTGCGAATCACTTTAAATCTTAATGAGTATTGATCTTAGTTGGATTTGGGTAGGAGGTTGAACGGACGATAGTCTGGACAAAAAGTGACTGACATTTAATAATAAACATGTTCTGTTTTTATCCTACCGACCAGAAACAGCCAGCCATGGAAAGGTGTTTGGTGCTTCTTGTCTACCCCTCGGCATAGTCTAGGCTTGGAACTCTCGGACAACGAACGAAAGCATAGCAACTATACACTATACAAAGTGATGTTTTCTATCGAAATCAGACATCAGGTAGATGGCGCTTTGCGCTGTCTAATTTTGACCGATATTTCTAGGCGGAGTATAAGTTCCAACACGTGCGATAGCACGAAGGTGCTTCCGATAGGAAGAAGGTGCACTTCAAGCAAGTCGATATTTGACAGTTCTGTCATTAGATTCGTAAATTAGGTTTTATTTTGCAAGTGCAAGCTTTTGCAGGTAATTGTAGTGTTGGACGATTTCAAAACATGGTACTTCTTACACAATTTACAAAGAGCGGCACAGGTAGATATTTCGAACGGTAAGTATTATTATGTTGTTACAACGCTGTCACTTTGATATGCATTGCTGGACAAATGAGTGAAAAGCATACATTACTAAACTAAATTTGGCGCCAAACAATGCATTGTAAACGTATGGGCTTGGGTCCTTTCAATCTATCGGAATTCGTTAGTTCAGGCAGTATTACGAAAGATACTGTATGAGACTACGTCCTAGCTTGGTAAACCATTGGCAGGTGGTGATCGTCGCATTTTCATCTAATTGCACACAATTTTCAGTTTTTCACTTAGTGCTCTCCGTTTCGTCTACCTGCATGACTAGACTTTACAACCCAAAACAGCTCTGTCTGCGGTTGGTCATCTTTAGAGGAGACAGAAAGCAAACATGTCCATTTCAAAGGTTAGTGTCACATAGATGGCGCTGTAGCAAACTATTTATACACTGCGTCCCTATTTCCATGGACAAAGAAGTACCACGTATTCTTAGACTCAAAATAAATCGATTAACCTACATCCAAAAGCGCCTCGTTTGTCCGTTAGAGAGCGTCAAAGCTTTCTTTCTAAAACACATTTTTCCATATATTTTGGGAACCGAGAGCCCAATTTGAATGAAATTTGGAAAACATACTTTTTGCTAGATGCTCTAATGTTTGACTTGTACACTGAAGGGCTCGCGATGGGTGAAAGCTACTCCCATCCCTACATAGATTATAGTAGCTTTTGGCAACTTCGCCGATGTCTCTGATTTTTTTTATTAAGCAGATCCTTTTGTTCACTTCATTTTGTTTCGCTTATTAAAACAGGACATTTCCGATAGTTTACAAAAAAAGAGGTTTTGAAGCGTCTCATCAATTCCTTAGGTGGATTTAGCGAAATAAAAAGGTATGATATTACTTACTACCATTTTATTCAATGCAGGCAATATCATATTTAACTTTATTTAAGATGTCATTATTCTTTAATGTATTTGCTCCATCGTGCCCCTAGGTGACTGGTGTTGTCTACCTGAACCTCGAATATCTTGTTTTTAATGCTCCTGGTATAAAAAAATCGCAAGGGAACGAGGTGGCCATTGAAAAGGAGGTTCTTGACCTCTACCAATGCATTTACAATCAAATTTCTCCTTCAAGTAATTTTTTACAGCACGCCAAAGTGAGGTAGAGTATCATCATGTATAAAAAATATGTCTCCTCTAACATTCAGAGGCAGTTCTTCTAATAATTTAGGTAAAACTTATTGTAGAAAATGAAGATAGCTATTTCCGTTTAGTTTATCAAACAACCTATATAGATCAACTAACAAACTGAAAGTTGCCAATAATCCCCATCCAAACGATAACTTTCGATTCCCGTTGAAAATGTCTTTCTGAAACTACATGCGGATTATCGTCAGCATAAACATGTGTATTACGTAGGCTTTTGATACCACGTCGGGTAAGACCTGACTGATCTGTAAACAAAAGTTTCTTATGAAATGGCCTATTATTTGCTCTGGGGTCTGATATATTCCTTACAAATCCTAAACGTTAGTAGTGGTGAGTAGGAAGTGATTTCTGGATACGCTGAACGTGAAAAGAACGAATGATATTTAAAATCCGCTTAACGGTACTTTTTTGTTCATGTTCTAATCTGCGAGTGCTGAAACCTTATTCTTGTACGAGCACTTCAAGAACAGCTTCTTCCATCAGCGGTGTTCGGGTTGGCCGCGGTTTCCCAGCGTTGACTCCTAGAGGTTGGAACCGACCAATTTCTCGTAATAGTAGGCGACCTGTGCTTGAAAAAGTCTGACGATTCATCGAATCGGATATCTCTCTTGATACATGCCACCATTTTTTCCGCAATTTCCTTTCGAGAAACAACGTACCAGTCAAAAGAATATTCCATATTCACGAGGTAAAAACAAGAAACTACCTTAAACATTTATGAAAAAGAAACAACAAATTAACAATCAGAAATAAACTCAACCATTGCTTAATATAAACTTTATGAAGCTTGTTGACAAAAATAATCTGACACTGATGTAATATCCGAATTTACACCTACTACTTTCTTAGAAACCTACTCCAAAAAATATTTTTTTTCAAAAACTGTGCAAGAAGGGCTGTTTTTATAAGAAAAACAAATGTAGTAAATGGATGGATAGTTTAAATGCAAAAATTAGAGTTATTGGGAGAGTTGCCAAAAAATTGTGCTATAACTTATTAGCCTTCTGGATTTTTTGCTTAAGTCAAATATTCGGACTTCTGGCAAAACACATGTGTTCGAAATTTCATTTAGCAAACTATAGCTTCCGAAAATATCTGAAAAAATGTGTTTTAACAAGGAAACTTTGACGCTCTCTAACTGGCAAACGGAGCCCTTTTACATAAAGGTAAACCATGTCCAATCGACTCATTTTGTAATACGTGGTACTTCTATGACCACGGAATATTGGAACACCCTGTATTAGCATTATCTACTACTGCCAGTACATTACCAATCTTGAACATATAAAATGTCCAAACAAGGGTAAGTATCACCTAAAGTGCACAGAAAAAGCATTCATCTCCGACTTATCTGTAAGCGCACGAAACTGGCAACATTTTAAAACCAAAAAAGTGCACCACCGGCGGGCCATTCCCGCCGGTGGTTTTACGACGGTGGGGCTGAAACGACCCTCAATAGCTCTCCGGGAAAAATACAAACATGAAATAAACCCTCGGGAACCGAACATAATCATCATAAAAAGGGAACTTCTCGCTGCCTGCGCCCATAGACAAAGGGAATACAATTACCTAAAAGATATAAGGAGCATTACTATCGGGTGATAAATTGTCTGAAGGGGAGGATAAGGGAGGATAATCTGGAAGCACGGCGGATGTGAAGGTAGATAGTTGGGGTGGAGAGGTATTATTGGGGGTATAAACAGATTTTTAACATGCTGGGAGTACTATTCATATTAATACTGGAATAGCACAGTTGGAGATGAAAAACTGCTTCAGGGACATGATTTTCTGCTAAGAGGTATCTTTTGAGCAGCATGTTAAAAGACAAGTTTCAGGCGTTGACTTCTCACGCTGAATGCTGTACACAGTTTTAGGGGCGTGAGGCAAAATGTAGCTAAACCACATTGAATTTATTTCAAGAAATCTAAAGTTATATTTTCTGTAAGTCCTGAAATCACTTTCCTTACTTAAAAGCGTTTGAAACGTTACACAATAGAGTCGAAAAGATGTAACGTGAAAAAACTCATTTTTCAAAATACTGGGGCGTTATTCAAAATGGTTGTACTCCAAGGGTACTTTGAAAATTGTTTGTTCGATTAGCGTATAATATGTATTCATTGTTAGACTTGAAACATTATGCTTCGTGAAATGCGTTCTCTATTTCGGAAAATTTATGGATATTGAAATTAAAGTTATGTGAGGTCTAGGATAGTCGGTGTCAATAAGAATGATAATATATTTTGATAAATATAGGGTTTGAATGAAATTTGATGACAATGTGGATGATTGAGATTTTGCTTCTTGAACTTTCATTGTCTTCTCTTTGTCTTGTGAGGGAATATTTAAGATACAGCAGTATGGCTTTGAGACAGCTAAACTAAACATGTGCGCATTTGAGATCCAATAACAAACCTTAAAAGATTGTGAGTACTAGTTTAATTCGATGGCCCATACACTTCCATTTTACACCCTAAATATATAAATAGCTACTTTAAATTACGTTAATATTTTTATCAAATTGTTTCAGTATATAGTCGCTTACCAACGGAGTCCGGAAGACATGGGCCAAAGTTGTTTAAACAACCGCAGAGTTGTGACACGTGTTCCCCATTCGCCTTCAGAAAAATGCTACCTGCAAGGCTACATTATCTTCTTTAATGTATAAAATATCACCATAACGCACCGAAACTGCATAAAAGATGAGAACAGATACGTCTCAGTCTGAAAATCCGTGTGTGCATATATATTATGTATTCGTTACTTTTGTATATTTTCCCTGTCCAAGAAAAGCCGCTGGTGCATTTCACTAGCGAACGAATCTAACAGGACTGTATCTGGGTTAGATGATACTTGAAATAGGCCGGCTTTTTGCAGAAAGGAACCAACCCAGAAAAACAATTATTTAACAATGAGGCTTCAAAGTTTTGACAATGATAACAAATTCATTTCAGACCAAACACGATTTTAATTAATGGCACACTTAAAGCTTTAAATATGTGTATGGATCTTTTTTACAGTAAATGATGCTCGTAATAGTTTATTTTCCTAAAATCCATATTTAAGTTAGACATATCTGAAAAATTGACACCATTTTGTCTAGTGTGTATGGGATTCTCTCCTGAAAAATGGCGTCAATTAAGTTGACTCCTTTCCACGCTATGCTGTCCTTAGTTCGTAAAGGACTATGTTTGGTCCAAGCTGGCCCTTCTGAAAAAGCTAGACACGAACATGTAGACCAAAAAATTAAATGATCGTTGCGATGGCTATATTGGTCTTCACCATGCATAGTTCACACAGCCCAGCCCCCGACACCATAGCAGTGGGCAAAAGCGATAGCTGATTGTGACGTACGGCCACCAATGACGACGCTTATCCATCGGGGAACGACGTCGCATGTAGGGACATCCGACTGAAAGCGATATTTTAAGTTTAGAGGTTAAATGCTCGGGGACATATGATGAGCGAAATACATCCAATATGTGCGTAGAATTCTTGGGATCTGTATAAATACACCAACATCAAAAAATTTAGATGTATCCTCCCCCACCCCCTATAACCTCTAGCCACCAACTTTTAGCTCCTACAAGCATTTTTTCGAAATTGGTCGGGATCGTCTGAATCGTCAAAGACGCAGGATACTCTTTTGTTTTTGGATTTTTTCTTTGCAGCCACTAGACCGATTTTCAAAAACTAAAAAACGATTGCGTCCTTGGCATAGTAGTAACATCGTGTAAAAATTCCATCGAAATCGAAGTTATAGGTAGTTATGTGATTAGCTAGCAGACTGACAGACAGACTGAGACTGACGGAAATAAGTGACATGGTTTTTCGTGATGTCATATAACATTCAAGAAACATATCTCATTTTCGAAAATTTTCACGATTACAATACTTCCCCATCAGTAGGCATGGGAAACGTATCTGCTCTTCATATAACCCACAAGGCCAAAGTCTAAGGTATCCATGAGATAGTACGGGAGAGGTGCTAACCTATAGAAACGAGATTTCTTCTCTAGTACCATGTTTTTTAAGCACTCTGTTTAATACACTGAGAGATCTTAAAATGATCAAGTCAAGTCATTGTTGGTTGTCAGAGCGGTCCGTGGGACCTTAGCTCTTGAGTCAGTTTATAAGTCTGTCAGGTCTGGTAACCCAGAAACCAGACAATTTCAAGTAAAAAAGGGAAGGAAAGGAGAGAAGGAAGAACGAGAGCAAAGAGGAAGAAGAGAATCTTTTAGGATAGGCAGCGTGTAGGCATTGTTAAAATAACTTCACAGATTTTAATATGGTCTAAAAATATTTGACTTTTTCTAAAGATTTCGTCAAAATGCTCCGATTTGGTTGTTCTAAGTTCACGAATTAATTTTGATTACAGCGCGAGCCGCGGCCGTTTGTGCTTGCGAACTTACTCGACTGTGTAGTCCACTGACTCGCGCAACAGAGGGTTTCTGTGCGATTCCGCAGGCTATAGCGCCGCTGCGCCTGTTGCTTAGTGTAGTCCTTTAGGTAAGGGGCATTGGGGTCTCTATGAAGAGTTCCGTTACAGACATGGGGCATCAGTAATAGTGGGCAACGTCCTGCTATGCAGAACCTGCAGATTTCGCATGTGTGTTTTGGCAATAAAACACCAAGTCGCACATGCGTAAGTCATTGCTGGTCTTATGATCACCTTATAGAGTCGAATCTTGTTAATCAAACTTAATTTTGAACGTTTACATAATAATGGGTAAAACTGTCGAAACGTAATTTGGACTTTAGTTTTTAACGCTTCTATATGATTCCACCAAGTCATCCCTTTGTCCAGAATGACACCGAGATACTTAGCGGAGGATTCCCATGGTATAAGAAATCCATTCATTGAAACTTCAGATTGAACGCTGCGACGTCTTTTTGTACAGTAGATTGCCTGCGTTTTCGAATGGTTAATTTCAATTAGCCACCGACCCGCCCAATCTAATACTTCCTCCACTGCACTTTGCAGCTTGTCGTGGACTAGGTCACCAGACCACGACTGAGCCACCAATGCAGTATCGTCAGCATAGAGACAGACTTCACAGTTGCTGGGGCTAGGGACGTCATGGATGTACAGTGAGTAAAGGATAGGTCCAAGGACCGAACCCTGAGGGACGCCAGCTGTAATCAGGCGTGTTGTCGACAGGACATTGTTAATTTTGATCCTAAACTTCCTACGTTCAAGGAAGGATCTCCGTAGTTTTAGAAGCCAAAAAGGGAAGCTCTTTTGGATTAGTTTATACAGGAGGCCCGCGTGCCACACCTTGTCGAATGCTTTGAGACATCCAAAAGCAAGATACCAGTACTTTCGTTGAGGGTGTGGTGGTTACTCGTTCCACCAGCCTAACCGTCTGTAGCTCAGTACTATGTTCAGACCGAAAACCGAATTGCACGTGAGGAATCACATGGTGATCTGACGAGAAATTCTCAAGGTGACATAGAGTCACCTTTTCAGCGAGCTTAGACGGAGCTGACAGCAGGCTAGTGGGACGATAATCCTATGGAAATATCAAATCCACCTTCTTTGGAGTCATTATAACTTCAGCGGTCTTCCACGCACATGGGAAGTACTGGGTCCTTAGCATGGCATTGACTATTGCCACGAGATAAGTTAAGGACTTCCGCGAAAGCAGCTTCAGCGCTTTATTAGTGATTTGTTCCTCCCCAGGTGCTTTACGCATTCTAAGATCTTTAATATGATCTTGAATCTCTGCTGGTGTGCAATACGGGGTCTCGGGAGATTCCGCTGATGTGCTAAGCAGAACTTCGGTTGAAAAAGCTTCTGAAGAAGAATCGTCCGATGAAGAAAACTCATCAACGGTAGCGCGACTTTCACTGACGCCGTTGGCTCTAAAATATCTCATGACACATCTTACGATGTATTGCTCCTCGTCGAGGTCATTAGCGGGATCATAGCTGGGAGAGAACTGTCTTTCCATGGCATCGGGGAAAACCTCATCATTTTCCTCTGTTCTGAAGACAATGCCTCCAGGACCGTGGATGTACGGGATTTGTTCACACTTTCCGTTTCTATCTTAAAATGATATAACGGACAAGTATAGTAATGTGTGATCGGTCTTTCGTGTCCTCTGTACAGTACGTTTCAAAAAGGTTTCAACCTCACTTATTGACATTATGTATGTTTTCCTATATGATTCAACTTGGAACTAGTTGCTGTTTACTTGATCTGCAATCGTTGTGTGACTGTTTGTTTTGCCTAAGCGTCATGACGCTTGAGCTATCATTATCTGACTGAAATGCGATGCGACATCTCCTTCAGATATGGCATTATTGGAGATCTAATCTGTAAGTTGTATAGTATAGCTGGAAGGAAACTGGCGAAACGGCAGTGTATACCTAAGTAAGTACCTTACTTAGTGGGGATTTGTGTGCTAATAATTTGAGTTGATGATAATTCTTTGGTTTATTGACTCAAATGCACTTAGTTGAGATGAATGCTTTATTCTGGAAATTACATATGCAAATTTGGTGAATTTAAAAATGAGAGATATAAAAAGTAGAATCCCTGGTTGGTGAAGTAGGTATATTACAACTAGCAGGAGGTGAGAAAATAGGCCACAGACAGGAATATATATGAAACGTGAGAAGGCATTTTACATTATTTTTTATTTCCAGTCATTTAAATCTTATAGAAATTTATTTTGTGATGTTAAGTAGAAAATACAAACTCAGCGCCTAGAAATGAGGCACTGCGAAAATGTTTTGTGTGTGATGCCTCATTCCTAATTTTTCTGTGATGTGGCTTCATTACAAACAACGCGGGCGCGGTGTGATTTCTCGTAATTCTTCTCAATGCTTTTGAAAACACCGAAAAACGGGAAAACCATAATGTGAACATAACCTCTCTTCAGAAAGGACAAGATAAATAACCCGTCTGGTACAACAAAGCATGCTACCGAACTAACTTGCAGGATGGTCGTTGAACATTGTCGTTGAGTCATTCCTCCAACGGTGAAGCTGGTGATGCTCACAGCGAGCAATAACGGGAGGACTATTTGCTCACTAGAAGCTATCTAGTCAGCAAGTTGATATTTTGTCGTTTTTTTCTATGACGCTATTTAGGTTTTTTACGTCATAACCCTGTCGGTCAAGTTAGCAAGCTGAAATTCTTGGTAAAGCAATGCATACTATATTTTATCGTGACAGTAGCAGTTGAGAATTTCAAGACGGCAACCTTATAATAAAAAAATCACTAGCTTCCAAAATAGTGGACAGGTTTCAGATCGACCTCTCGGAAAGAAGAAGGTTCTTATAACACACTCTAGCATTTTGATGGTAGATTGTTGAGTTAAAAGAGCCAGTCCGCTACCTTGAATAAAAGTAACTTCATACGCTAGGATGGAGTACTGAAGAAGAACTGTAACATGAGATATGACATGACCCTGATTCAAGGAAGGATCCTGGGGGATGTCTTGGAGGCGCCGGCAAACCCTCAATACAAATATCCCAGTTTTAAGAAAATTTCGAACGTGCTCTTAACTTTTAAGCACACATAATAAAAAACAAGTCTACAAGTCTACTTAATTACTTGTTAGTCCACTTCAGCTTGTGCTCCATATTATGTTATGGTATTTTCTGGGAAAGGGTGAAGCGACTGATTGCAGCAACTGCTGGGAAATTTCGCT